TACAACTGATGTGTATTGATCTGCCAAAATGACTGACTACAATTGCAATTTACAAGCCTATTTCTCTTCCTTTGCCATGTACCTATTTAGGCAGAAGAAAAGTAAGTCAAGATAAAATCCTAAGGGATGCATCACGGCATGCTGAAGTTGTACTGGATGTGACTTTTAATACATTTTCATCACCACAGCAACACTAGAAGCGTCTCCCGACTCTCACCGCTGAGGCAGGCGTGCAATGTCATGATGCCCGTCAAAAAGAGGTGGGGCTTAAGTTGCAATGCTGCGATGATGCCTTTGTCATTGTGACACTCCTTGGCCGCACCCACAGATAACATTGGGCACACATGCCCAATGCAATTTTAGCATATCACTGGATAAAGCACAGTCCAACACAATCCTAGGCTGCATTAACAGAGGGATAAAATCAAGATCACAGGAAGGGTTAATACCACTTTACAAGGCCTTGGTAAGGCCACACTTGGAATCCTGCATCCAGTTTTGGTCACCACGATGTAAAAAAGATGTTGAGACTCTAGAAAGAGTACAGAGAAGAGCAACAAAGATGATTAGGGGACTGGAGGCTAAAACATACAGAGAACGGTTGCTGGAATTGGGCATGTCTAGTTTAATGAAGAGAAGGATGAGGGGAGACATGATAGAAGTGTTCCAATATTTGAGGGGCTACCACAAAGAAGAGGGAGTCAAGCTGTTCTCCAAAGGACCTGAAGGCAGGATAAGAAGCAACGGGTGGAAACTAAGCAAAGAGAGAAGCAACCTAGAACTAAGGAGAAATTTCCTGACAGTGGGAACAATTAACCAGTGGAACAACCTGCCTCCAGAAGTAGTGAATGCTCCAACACTGGAAGTTTTTAAGAAGAGACTGGACAGCCATTTGTCCGAAATGGTATAGGGTTTCCTGCCTGAGCAGGGGGTTGGACTAGAAGACCTCCAAGGTCCCTTCCAACTCTGTTATTCTGTTATAATGTTTATTGTTTGATGGGAAAGATTGAGGGCAATAGAAGAAGGGGACGACAAAGAATGAGGTGGCTGGATGCAGTCACTGAACAGGAGGCGTGAGCTTAAATGGACTCCAGAAGATGGTAGAGGACAGGAAGGCCTGGAGGAACGTTGTCCATGGGGTCACGATGGGTCGGACACGACTTCGTAACTAACAACAACAACAATTGTTTGATAGAGATGCACCTAGCCTATTCCCTGGACCATGTCTATAATTAATTCTTCTTCCAATATTTTTAATCGCAAATAAAATATTAATATTACTGTCTCAGTGGACGAAAGGAGAGGAATTGGCCCTTCAACAGTTAATCTAAATGCTTCTTGATATTGTTTAATCCACAGTTTACAGCAGTCCGGCGGATTGTTGCCTAATTTCTTGTTCCTGTCAAGGCTCATAAACTATTGACTTATATCAGGGGTCTTCAAACTTGGCCCTTTTATGACTGGTGGACTTCAACTCCCAGAATTCCTCAGCCAGAATTCAACTCCCAGAAGTCCACCAGTCATCAAAGGGCCAAGTTGGAAGACCCCTGGTCTGGATCCAAGCCCGCAGTTTCATCAAAATGGCCGACTGAGGAATTCTGGGAGTTGAAGTTCGCCAGTCATCAAAGGGCCAAGTTTGAAGACCCCTGGTCTGGATCCAAGCCCGCAGTTTCATCAAAATGGCCGACTGAGGAATTCTGGGAGTTGAAGTCCACCAGTCATCAAAGGGCCAAGTTTGAAGACCCCTGGTCTGGATCCAAGCCCGCAGTTTCATCAAAATGGCCGACTGAGGAATTCTTGGAGTTGAAGTCCACCAGTCATAAAAGGGCCAAGTTGTAAGACCTCTGGTCTGGATCCAAGCCCGCAGTTTCATCAAAATGGCTGACTGAGGAATTCTGGGAGTTGAAGTCCACCAGTCATCAAAGGGCCAGTTGGAAGACCCCTGACTTATATCTTTGTGCTCTGATTTCTACACTATGCTTGACAAGGAACCACGGATTCTTCTTCTGGTTTGCCTCCTGTGGAATGAATTTGTCTTACTAAGAAGGCTTCCAAAATTCAGTCCGGTAGATTATTTCCTTTATCTTGTCACCCGTGTGAATTATTGCTGAATTATTGCTGAGCCTGCCAAATCTATGAGCTCACAACTCCCCACTCTTAGAGCTATTAGACAGTTCAGTACCTTACTCTAATCAATCAGAGCATAAGAGAACTGCTCTATTGGGATGAGTTGAGTTCAATGCCTTGATGCTGATAACACAAAATATGTCATGTGGTGGTTGTTGTTTTTTTAATGCTAATACAGTTCCCATACCGAATTTGGCTTGTCACAGGAGCTATTCCCGTTTGTCTACACAGAGGGTCATCCAACCAAGTTTTCACACAGGGAAGATGGACGGTTTAAAGGACCAGGCTGGATCTCTGGAATCTCTTGGAGAGCTACTGTCAGAACTAAGCAACATTAATTGGTTCCTGGGATTGGGTAGGTCTAGTTTAATGAAGAGAAAAACGAGGGGGGGACATGATAGCTGTGTTCCAATATCTCAGGGGCTGCCCCAAAGAAGAGGGAGTCAAGCTCTTCTCCAAAGCACCTGAAGGCAGGACAAGAAGCAACGGATGGAAACTCATCAAAGAGAGAAGCAACCTAGAACTAAGGAGGAATTTCCTGACAGTCAGAACAATTAACCGGTGGAACTGCTTGCCTCTAGAAATTGTGAATGCTCCAACACTGGAAGTTTTTAAGAAGAGACTGGATAGCCATTTGTCTGAATGATTAGAGGTCTGGAGGCTAAAACATATAAGGAACGGTTGCTGGAATTGGGTATGTCTAGTTTAACGAAGAGAAGGACGAGGGGGGACAGGATAGGAGTCTTCCAGTATCTGAGGGGCTGCCCCAAAGAAGAGGGAGTCAAGCTATTTTCCAAGGCGCCTGAAGGCAGGACAAGAAGCAATGGATGGAAACTAACCAAGGAGAGAAGCAACCTGGAACTAAGGAGAAACCTCCTGACAGTGAGAGCAATTAACCAGTGGAACAACCTGCCTCCAGAAGCTGTGAATGCTCCAGCACTGGAAGTTTTTAAGAAGAGACTGGGCAGCCATTTGTCTGAAATGGTATAGGGTTAACTGCCTGAGCAGGGGGTTGGACTAGATGATATTATTATTATTATTATTATTATTATTATTATTATTATTATTATTATTATTATTATTATTATTATTATTATTATTATTATTATTATTATTATTATTGATCATCGCACAGTCAGCCAGGTGTTCAGACTGGATTTGGCCTTTTGTGTACCTATCGAGTCCTTACCCAGGACCTGGGATAGGCAGATGTGGATGTTTGATGGTATTACAGATCTCATCGTAGGATGGAAGCAGTTCCTAGTAAGGCCACCTTTTGCAATTTTATTATTATTACTATTATTATTATTATTATTATTATTATTATTATTATTATTATTATTGTTGTTGTTGTTGTTGTTGTTGTTGTTGTTGTTATTATTATTATTATTATTATTATTATTATTATTATTATTATTACCTGTGGTCTGGCTTATTTAAAACAGCTTGTAGTAGTCTGGGACATGACTGAGCCCGCTATGTTTTACAATGTTGTACACAACTTTGGGTTGTTCTGTTAAATGCCCACTCGTGCTCTAAGTGCTAAGTAGAAATTGGGAAAGTGAGACTTAGACTCAGTGTCCAGAGTTTATTTGATTATCAATCGTTTCCTTTCTTGCCTGGTCTGATATACGTGAAAATAGAGTAGGTTTACTCCAGGGGTGCTTTTCCAAAAGGCAACTGGACTTTCTTGTTGTTTCTCTTGAAAAGTTTTCACTTCTCATCAGCAGAACTGGATGTTTTCCTTGAAATGTTTTCAAGGAAGAAAAAAAAGTAAAAAAAAAACAAGGAAGTCCAGTTGCCTTTTGATAAAGCACCTTGAGGGCAGTGGTGGGATTCAGCTGGTTCTCACCAGTTCAGCAGAACCAGTAGATAATTTTTGTTGCCCAGGCCCAGAATGGACTTCCGGAAGTGGCATCCACACACAGAGAATCGGTTGTTTGAATTTCATCTATGCCATTTAAATTTCATCTATGCCAAGAGGTATAGATGTGAGTGAACATCCACGGAGGGAAACCGGTTATTCACGTATTTCAATCTCACCACTGCTTTAGGGCTACCCTAACCTGGATGATTGAGAATCTCCATAGACAAAATATTGGCCTGCAAATCCTTTCATCCTGTTTAAAATGTCTAGTTCAGGGGTCTTCAAATGTGGCCCTTTAATGACTTGTGGACTTTCAACTCCCAGAATTCCTCAGCCAGCATGCCTGTCTGAGGAATTCTGGGAGTTGAAGTCCACCAGTCAGAAAAGGACCAAGCTTGAAGACCCTTGACATAATGTGAGTGGGAAACAATGCTAACTCAGCAAGAGCTAAACCGGTGTTTCTCAACCTCGGCCATTTTAAGAGGTGTGGACTTCAACCCCCAGAATTCCTCAGCCAGGCATGCTGGCTGAGGAATTCTGGGAGTTGAAGTCCACCAGTCATAAAAGGGCCAAGTTTGAAGGCACCTGACATAATGTGAGGGGGAAATAATGCTAACTCAGAAAGAGCTAAACCCGTGCTTCTCAACCTCTGCCATTTTAACAGGTGTGGACTTCAACTCCCAGAATTCCCCAGCCAGCTCTGCTTTGTCCCCGACCTGCTCTTCTACCTTGTGGCATCACATAATGCAGGGGCCTTCAAACGTGGCCCTTTTATGACTTGTGGACTTCAACTCCCAGAATTCTTCAGCCAGGCACGCCTGGCTGAGGAATTCTGGGAGTTGAAGTCCACAAGTCATAAAAGGGCCAAGTTTGAAGACCCCTGGTCTACTTCATTCATTTATTCAAAATGTCAGCATGATGTTGCTCTTTGTACAACTCATCTCTTCAAAATACTCTTGGGTAAGAAAAAGAAGGGGAAAAAAAAAGAATAAGTAAGATCAATTACCCTAACGTTTTTTTTGATGATCTCCTTGTTCATCAGCATCCTCCCTTCAGACAATTCGATTCCTGACAAGGGAAACAGAACTTCTCCGATGATATCATCTCTGGAGAACCGGTCGAAACTCAGGATCATAAAATGGAGACTCAGATCTTGAATTTGAGTGTAAGGGATCCCATAAAAGGTGAAGGTTTCGTCAAAAGCCGGATCTAAGGTTTTCCTCAGCACTCGCGTTTTCACCTTGTGCTTCTTCTCCGGTAGTATGGTCATTTTGATGTATGGATCAGAAGTCATCGATTGTTCATCCATGGCCGGTAAGCCACGCGCTTCTTTGATGTTCACCATGAAAGCCTTTTTTTCAAAGTTGTACTCTAGGGAGAAGAACAGAGTCCCTAATTTGTCTCGCTTTTCTTCGGAAGATGTTGAGGTGGTTGACTTCAAGCTGTCCGGAGACACCGAATCTTTTTCCCGCTCAGGAAATGGTTTCGGAGTAAAGCCTTCAACGTCTGAAGAACTTGGCATTTTAGGGATTGTCTTGGGGAAGTTGCCATTCAGATCTTGTTTCTCCAGGTCAAGATGCAGGGAGGTTTTGGGCATCGTGGGCTTGTTTGTGGCTTCCCCTTTCTCCTCCGCGCCAAACTTCTTCTTGCTGTTGAGGTTCTCGGGATAAATATCGACCCCCTTCAGCACGTGGACAAATTTATAAGGAGGGGTCTTGTTGGCTTTAGAAGATTTGCGTTGGCAGCAGATCCAAGCAAAGAGCGAGACGGTGAAGACCAGCCCAAAGGCGCTGAAGATCCCAACCACGGTAGGGATTTCATCTGCAAGTCAAAGCAAAGGGCAACAAACGTATGAACGTTGGGGCTTCGGAGATGACAAGTGATAGTTAACTTAGCAAGAAACCGGCAAAATGATAGAGTGTAGCAATTCAACTGTACAATACACCAAGAAAAAGCATATTCATTTTGTGCCCCCTGCAGGTGTGAAAAAAAAATTCTGTCTGGAGAGATTTCTCCAGATGGATGCATGACTGTGAGAAATAAGAGTTTAGCCATCATGCTTGTAACAAGCAACCTGGCGCGATTAAATTTTGTTTAATGTTTCCTAGATAAAGTTACGGATTCACTAAGTATAACAAAGGCGTCTGGGTTCCTTCTTACACCCTTCACATTTGTCTTTTCATCTGGCCGATAAAAAAAAGATTTGAAATATATTGTCCCCGTGTTCACATTCATACCAGCCTTTGCTTTGTCCCTTACGTCCAGTAAAACTTCGTCGTTACACAAACCTTTTATAGACGAGATTACAACGCAGTAAGCAAATGTTAACTTTTATCAGTTTTTCCAACAGTCTGCCATAACGATATTGAGCTCAATGTCGATATAGATAATATATAATAATTCCCACCACCACCACCACTATTTCATTATCACTCATGTGCAGGGCTAATCGTTTCTTTTCTAATTTCAGGAGAAACCGACGAGGATTTTTAGAAGCATCCAGCAACGTAGGTGCCTAAAGAACAGTGATTTAGTCTCTATTTCTGCAAGCGTAGCAATTGTGATGATTTTTTTTTTCCTTCTCTCCATCGCTCAGAGAAAACAGCCCACGTTCTAAACAGCAATAGGGAAAAACAGCATGCAAGCTGCAATGACATCTGGAGCACGGATAAAAGTGGGACACGGAGGAGATCATTAGCATTTCATGAGTAAGCAACACAGGGCCAAATGAGCGCCACTAATTGGAAATCCAATTCAGCCCATAAGTAACATTTCCGAGCAAGTTGCTGGCAACAGCAACCCAGATGAAAGACCATCTTCTCCTAGCAAGATGGGAACGCATGAAATATTATTGCAGAAAAGAAGCGGGTCTATCATTTGTGGGGACCGGCATTCAAGGAAACATGTGCTACATCCTGTCTTAAAGGGGGATTTTCTGGAAAGGAAAAGTAGATGTGTTCTTTACGATTCTTTTTGGAGAGAAGGACTCTGCTTTTGAAGGGTAGAAGGGTGGCGGACTCACCCTCTAAGTTGAAATTACGGCAGGATGAGTGGACCTACTGAGCAAGCCTTGGAAGGGTTGAGTGTGGACAATTGCCAATTTTGGAGGCATCACCTTCTGGCATCAGGGTTTGCTTGTCTTTTAAGGGGAGGACTTTTCCATTTTGATTAGGGTCAATTTATGAAGCCAACCCGTGGTTGTACGTTAGTCTGCCGGAAATGTTGCCTTCGGATAAGATATTGGTTGCTGGATTAGTTCCATGCATCCTCTTTCCATGTCCACTAGCTCCCTTCACACACACCCTTTTTTATGTCTCTCCCAGCTGAGGAACATCTTAGCAGCAGCGAGGGAATAACATTTCCATACGGTGCTTACAAGGTAGTTCCAATGGGCGATTAACTCCCATGAAGGGGTTTTAATTGTCAACCGACATGTGTGCAAGTATTGTTTAGACGCCTGCACCCAGCAGATTGTTTTTTGAGAGCAAGTTACAGATATTAATTATCTTCCCAAAGTCAATTATGACGTGAGCAAGCTGTCCCAAGTGAAATTAGGAGCGCCTGTGAGGGGGTGGACCAAGAAGAAACCCCAACTCATTGTGCTCTACAGGAACCACCGCTGGGATGGCCATCTGTTTTGATGCTATTTCTCCAGGAATCCTAACATCTGCGTGAGAACAAGATGCTGACTTTAGACTCTTACTAGCTAGGAAGAAAAGAACAAGGCAGACCGTGTGGATTTGAAAAGACCCCTTCCACATTCTTTGCATGCGAACCGAAGTCGACATCGAACTGATTTATTTTAACGGGAACGCCAAAAGAACGACTTGACCCAGGGATGGAAGAAATAACATATGTTGCTTAGGAATGATCCCATTGTGCCAGAAGAGGCCATCAGGAGTTTACAATGAGGCCATCAGGAGTTTACAACACAATATTTTGTCGGTAAAGTACTGACGGTATCCCAAGAGCATTACAAGGCAAAGTCAATCTATGAGACAATGTTCACTCACTCATCTCCCCCACGTTTAAACAACTGGGGGGGGGACAAAACTACGTACAGTATGTATGCATTTTTCTCTTGGTCAAAAAATAAAAGCTTGTTTATTCAGCATTCTAGCAGGGGAAAAATACTAATGCAAGGGTTGGTTTTATTCTAAATGCCAGGTTTTGACGATAGTCAAGAGCCAAAAGCAGCCAAGCCGCTTTAAGTTTCTCTCCGAAATCTTGCACTGAGTTTAAAAGCATGAGGTAACACTTTTATGTGCATTATCCAAGAAACAACACTTACGACGAGAGGCAAAGAGATATCCACTGAGAGGAGAGACAGAAAGGTATAGATGTATGAAGGGTTGAGATGAATGACTAATCTGTTTAAACGTCTAGCAGCTATCCTTCTACTAAAGAAAGCAATTAGGACCATTTTTTCCCCCCGACAGCATGGAGAATACAGGTTCGAAGTGACTCATCCTCCCTCCCCATCCCAGCTTCCTTCAAACAAAGATTGAGGCAGATCCATCCTTCCTCTCCCTACCACGCTCCTTCCATTCCGTTTGCAACCTCGGGAGAAGGAAGGCAGGAGGAGGGAAGGAGGAACCCTCTGAACATCTGAAAGCAGCAGGAGAGACGAAGAAGACGCAAACTTTGGCCAAATCGACCCACCCACCCCTCCCAGAGATGCTTCACAAGGGAGGGCTCCCCAATCAAAGTAGAAACACGTCCGAGGCTTCCGGGGGTCCCCCCAAAAAAGTCCCTAAGGAGTCCAAAATGGCAGAGTCATCTACTTTGCTTGAGAAGGACCTGTGGGGAGGGGGGAAAGGAAGGAAGGAAACGAAGCCAACCCGAATTCGCATTTTGGTAATTTTCTCTTAAAAATAAGAATAATAAGAGGAATATATCTACTTACCAAATTCTTCTCTGCTGGCTGTAATCGGAGCCATGTTGCTTGCTGCGTGCGCTGTCCAAGGTGCTGAAGCGTCTTCTCTCTCTCTCTCTCTCCGGCGGACCCAAGCGAAAAGGCAACACAACACAACACAACACGCGCGCACGCACCCCACCACAACCGACCGGGGGAGAGGGGGGGGGAAGAGTTGTTTTCCGACGCGGTGCCAAACCCCCCAGCCCGAAAGAGCGGGAAGGTTTGGGAAAGAGGAGGAGGAGGAGGAGG